AATTAACCCCTAAAACTCATCTAGAAATGTACATTAGCCTAACTAGGGTTTAGGGTTGTACTCACCTAAATTCCTAAGCTCCCAAACAAGGCTGAACAGGTGGGAGAATGGGCGGTCCGAGCGGGCTCACGGCGGCGCAAGCGGCGGCGATGGGCGGCCTTCACGGCGACGCGAGCGGCGGCGGCTTGCGGACGGCGGCCCACGGTGGGGGCTGCTCACCCGGCTGACGAAAGGGAGAGAGAGAGAGAGAGAGAGAATGGGATGGCTGGACGGTGGTGGTGCAAGGCGTGGAACGGTGGCACACGGCGACGGCACCGGCGAGTGGCGGCGGTGCTCCGGCGAGGGGCCTCACGCGGACGATAGAGGGAGAGAGAGAGAGCTCGGCGAGAGAGTGAGGGAGAGGAGAGGATGGCCGGAGATGGTGAGGAATGAGGAAGAGGAGAGAGAATGGGAGAGATATACACATTGGGCTAGTGGGGTTGGTGAACAACTTCTCCTAATTGACCATCTTGCCCTCACTTCTAGGGTTAGGATTTAATCTAGACTAAATATCTAAGGGCAATCTAGTCTTAGGATTTTAGCAATAATAGAGGCTGGTCAAGACTAATATAAACCCCAAAATTCGAAATTATGCCTAGGGCATAGGGGCAAAATGGTAATTTTTCCGATCCCGGGTCAAATTTTCAATTTTCGACTCTACCGATCCCAAATATAATTGGCCACACTTATACGACGTTGTCCTTGCAAAATAGTCGCGTACGCCCACGAAATTCGACACCGAAGTCCGGACTCAATTCCACGATCGATTTCGCTCAATTTGCGACTTTAGCGTCTCTCACTAACGGGCGGCTATTTAGGGGTTACGCGTATCGACCTAGGGTTACTCGAGTCGTGACGATCTCGATCTCCCAGAGAACACGAGGATTTATCACTAGTTCCGGGGGTCGCGATCGTTCGGATTAAGTTCGGGATCGTTCGCCACGCGTACTCTCGGTCGTGCGGAATCACCCGCTATCCGATCGTACGTCACTGGTCAAACCAAATCCGTCACTCTCTTTGGATCGGCTCACATTGGCACAAAATATTCCCTCATCGTTTCTCGGAATCGGATTCAATTCACGGTCGAGTTCTTGGGTCCACGTACCATTTTCCTAGTTAGCCATTCCCTATTGGTCAGTATCCCGAGAATAATCAGTTCCGGGCGAGACTTACCAAAACGAAATGAGAAATACACATCCATATTATTGATCACGAAAATGGGTTGAATTCGGGACGTTACATGACATACGTAATGGTTATTAAATACAGCATGAGCAAATGACTTGCATGAGGACGTGGCAATCGAATAACATGTGCGAATAATGTAGGAATCAAATAAGACCTATGAATCAAATATCTAATGTATCAACCAAACATATGCAACGTGTCAAATTAATTAGTGTGACATGTGTCGTGATAGGTAAAGATGCATGAGTGCAATTTGAAATCCATGTCCGACATCCGATTCTCGTTATTTGTACGGTGTCGGAAGACTCATGTCGAGAGATTTCCAATGAGCCCAATTTTGCGGGGTAGAATGGCCTAAGGCTAGGATCTATGGCTAGACATCGTTTTTTTTTTTTTTGGTAAGTAAACTAGACATCGTTTTCGTGACTTAACATTTTCAAAATCTTCATTGTCAATAATTAGAGGTGTGGAAAGTTTCATTTGATTCTGTGATCTCTAGCTATGGTTTTGGACTCTACAACCTTTTCAAGTATCGGAGGGTTTGACCGAAGTTTGACTGGCGATTACTTCCTCATTCAATAACTAATTGACCCTATTTTTGTTGCTCAAATGCTTGCAAGCCCAAGTTTCAAGATGTGCAATTGAAATTGGAAATCACAAACTTCTTGATGCCGCGAAAAACGAGCGACCAATCCCGAAGGATAAAAATTTACTGCCGGATTTTAGTGGCAATATGAATAACAAAGACCCGATTTGACGAGCATAACCCATAGTTTGGAGCCTTATAGCTCATCTGTCAAACAGGGCTCATATGGAGAGTTCTTTTCGCTGATAGAAGCTCATTTAATGGTCTATCATCTATGTATTGGGGCTTCTTCAATCAATCGTAAAGATTGCCTAGGATCTGGGGCTAATTTACCAGTGCCATCCATTAAGATCTTCCACCCTTTTTACAAGATGTAAAATCAGTGGTGCTACTTTTTCTTGCTGTATCTTTTGAACTCCAGGGAGTTGATTGGAAGCTTTTCCCTTATATTTTTTTTTTATCGATTATCTTCTTCAATAACAGCAACCCTTTCATCGGCCAATAAGACCACCTCTCTCCCAAGAGCATCTCTCCCTTCTCTTGTTTCCGCATAATCATTTCCTTGAGAAAAAATAATTTTGTCAAGAGAATAGTTACTTCACTTTGTAATCCACTAACATGTGTATTAAGCAAAGGCGAATATATATCTACCTTTTTATCAACCATTTATATTTGTTAGCAATGTTTGTTAATTTTTTATAAGAAGAAAGAATAAAAAAAACTATGCCTTTTCAACCAAATATAGCCTCAATGGCAATTCTGTGAATATTATTGAAATTGTAAAGGGTAATTAAAAGATAGTACTTTGGACGGAGGCTAGCGGATGCTAGATTTGTCGAGTAGATGAAAGTTTGTGTTTTTATTCGGAACATTTGAAAATTCGTGCTAAAATTGTCACAATAGTAAAGGTTCTTGTTTCCCTTGTAAATTAAAAATTTTAATTTTAACCACCACCAGCAATTATATATATTTTTTCCCTTATAAATAAGTAAGAGGGGCCGGCCCAATGAGACTCCGAATGAGCTGCACCTAGCTAAGAGATAAGCCTCAGACTCGCCCTCTCTGCCTTATCTTACGAACTCAAGTTTAGACATTGAGTATGTCTAAACTATCGTATGTACGGTATTGAATGTGAAGACATACACTCCATGGGAAAGGAGTTAATGCCGTAATACGTATTTCATACTACGTATGCATGAGACGACCAATAAGAGTGGCAAAAGTTTTGATCTCAACTTTATGCCGTATGAGACTCTTGAAGATAAGAGTTCCTTATTTAGTGCCCTTACGACTCTGACTTATTCTCAAAGTTTCTATTCAGTGTTTGCTATATTAGGGTGTTGCCAATGTTATGAATGATTCGACCTAATGGGGCATTTCTAGAAAATCGAGCTGGACTGAAATGGAGAGGTTTAAGGAAAGAGAAAGATCAATTTGTTTATTAAGTCACGTTCTATTTTTTGTAGTCACGGGTCAATCAATTATGATTTTGAGTAAATCATAGTTGTGAATACAATATACGAAATGCTAAAAGAGATCAAGAGAGATATAAATATGTGATTGATCTAGGGTCTGCATACTATATCTACTCGAAAACATTATGCCCCAATGTGAGCTGCTATGTATTCCTAACAGATGCATGGCAACGAGCTCTCAAAGTATGCTAGTCGCACGGATTATTTGCTAGTATGAATATTGCAGAGAAGAGAGAGTTATCTTTAGCCCATCATGTGCAAGTCGGAGATGATGGGTTTTATAATTTTGGGCCGCCCATGTTGGGCTAACGCAGCCCGTTAGACATGAAATAGCCCATGAGAGAGAGATAACCGCCGAGGCAGTTATTTGTGAAAACTGCAACAAGAACAAAAGAGTTAGGGTAGAAGAAAAGAATATTTGACATTTATTCTCACAAGATAAAACTCTCTCACTCAAGAAGAAAAAGGGCTCTCACTCTCGATCAAAGAATCGTACTCGCTCGGGGTTGCAATCGAAGCATTTAATCCGTGAAAAACAAGGTACGTCCTTTTGGTGATCTACTTCAAACGATCAGTGAGTCAATTTTCAAGTGGGCACATTTCCGCATATGCTTTTAGCGTTACTCGTTAGTTCGAGTTTTTAGTCTTTTAGGAATTTATTTCCGTTTTTCCTCTTTTTGTTTAGGAATCTGTTTCCAACACCATGCTATCATCTAAAGGATATGTTGTATGGGCGACCTAGACCTCGACGATAGCACCAATCAACTCCCCACGGCACTTAACTCCCAACGGATGAATTGAAGATGGATATATAAAGAAAAGCAACGTAGTTTAAAAGGGTTGGACGGAAAATAAATAAAGCTTATTCTGTTATCATCGTCCCTCTGTTGATCAAATTTAATTTCATATCAATATTTTAAACCCACACGGGCATGTGACAAGTTCCTATTATAAACCAAATATGGGACTGATAATCACACCGGCAACGAGTATTAATTCATTCCAGGCTAGTTCTCTTTAACCAAACAACTCATTACTACTAGGAGTGAGCAAGATGGACCGTCCAAATCGGGACCGAACCGGACCAATCTCGGGAATATCAATCCGGTTCCCGGTTTATAAAAGTGGAACCGGTTTTCAGGCGGTCTGGTTCCCGGTTCTAGGGTGGGAACCGAACCGATAAATATATATATATATATTTCTAATTTTATCATAAATATATATGTATATTTACTTTTTAAAATTTTGGAAAAAAAATAGAAAGCCTAATCTAATTTCCCAAATTCCCTCTTGCCTTTACCAATAAATGTTTGGTCCCATTGGAACCGGTCCACGGTCCTAAGACTAGCCGGTCCGATCCTCGGTTCTAGAAAGTGGGAACCTGTCCTCCCGGTCCGGTTCCTGGTTCTTGTGTTGGACCGAACCGGACCGGGAATCGCTCACCCCTAATTACTACTTTTTTTATGGCAAATGATTGAATCGCAAACATAGCAAGATGACAAGGCCCTCATTTCTTGTAGAACAGTAAAACCTGAGAAGAATTTATTGCAAGAGAAATAAGTGTAGATGTTTCCTACATAAATTTTGTGGATCATAACTGATGAATCCATTTCATTAATGTACTACCTCTCTCAAGCTATATAAGTTCCCATCTCTAGATCGACTACATCATCAAACAATAAAAAATATCAGACAATTTGCCAACCCTTCCGTCCCCAAAACACCATCATGGCAACGCTCAAGAACTTGTCTGCTCTCATGATCTTGTTGGTCGTCAACATGGCAATGCTTCCTAGGGCTACCTTCGCCATAGGCGGAAACCCCGCTTGCGCAAAGGGAATGACTGCCAATTGCGGGTCTCAGCTCTTTCAAATCATAGTCTTTGCCCGCACCTTTGCACCCACCAATGAATGTTGTCGCGAGCTCGTGACGGCAGGGAAGGACTGCCAAAACCAATACGTGAAGTTGATCCTCTCGACTCACAGGCCGATCAAGGGAACGATCTCCGATCTCTACAAGAGGAGCAATGAGACGTGGAACAAGTGCGTCGCGGCTGCCAATTATGTATCCCCTACCGAGCTCACTCATTGAGAGCTATTCTTACTCCGTAGTGCACTAACCGTGTAAAATAAAAAAGACGAAAGAATTATAATTTTTTTTATTGGATTCTCCTAAGAATTTTCCTATTTTTTTGTGCCTCTTAAGCCTTATAGTTAACTATCACCGAAGCGCAAAAGTGGATGAATCATATTTTTAGTGTTCAATGTGCTTAGAAACTTAAAAAAAAATTTAAATGATTTGCAAAATACACGTCGTCCCTGAAGTTGTTACATATTTTCGAGTCTAAAAACATAGGGTCACAAACAAAACTATGAGAAAATGTCACTTTGTTTCTTTGTTTCTAACATAGCCTTTGGAAACGAATACCTAAGCAACCAAAAGATCAAATGATGGTTTGATAATCATACATTCATCTCTACTAATCAAAGATCGAACACGGACGGTTCGTAATCACCTAATTCAAAATATTAATTAACACACATGAGCACCAAATATAAAAGACACGTAACCTAACGTAAAACTGCAAAGTTGTTCATTAGGGTCTGAAATAGTAATCTAGAGAATTAGGTACAAATAATGCATCTTCAAATAATGCATGGTCCAAATCCCTATCTAATTGCGGTTGGAATTCACTAAAAAAATTATTATTATCTATGGCATTTTGCACGCACGATAAAGTGCTTCGCATAGCCTTAGAAAAAGAGAATCATCACTATTATGTCTTGGAACATTAGATAATCGACATTCCAGCCGCATCAGAAATTTTAATTCCCTTACGGCGAAGCTCACAGGGTGCTCAGCCTCATGACAAGGGCCGGAGAGGAGGGACTTAAATTGATGGCTGTTTCGCCGGAATTGTTCCCGCGACGAAATATAATTCACCGAACGTGGTTCTTCAGCTTTTAATGAGAGGAGACCGGGTTCAGTGGCGATTCCGGACACGAAATATCCAGGCAGACAAGAAATCATTGCGAACTTTTACTTCGAACCGAACTGTATGTACAAACCGTGTCGGAATTTAATCAACGACAAAGCTTGAAAATACAGCCACACACGTACACGAAGATGTAACGCCGGAATTTAATCGACGATGCAACACCCAAGATAGAGATACACGCCTGAATTTAATCAACAACGCGAATCGAAAGGAAAGCTACAACTAAGTATAAATAAAGTGCAATACAAGAAAGTAAAGATAATTGAAAGATAACATGTTGATTAATCTGTCGGGAGAGGGGGGGAGGCGCCTTCCGAAGAGTTTGATGTGGCTATTTAAAGCCTACAACCGATAGTTATCAACGGAGGTTACAAATGGTTACTAATAGAGGTTACAGACAGTTATTAACAGACAATTTTCCCGAACTAGCCCTGAACTGAAATTTCTGACATCCTGACCAGTCCCGACCGTCTGCTTCCTTCCCAAATTGACAACTCCACAGTACTTTTCTGAGAAAAGTAAAATATAAAAGATGTACATCCAGGAGTCTTTATTCTTTTGGTTTTGGAATCAGGTCAATCCGATATGTATCAACTAAGTTATGATCGTTTTCCCGAACTAACGCAGAATTGAAATTTCTCCTCGTTGTCCCAAACTTGTTTATAATAACCAAAAATTGGTTATTTTTTGGTGTAAATATATGCTCCCTTTTAAAAGAATGGAATGATTCATTGACCATTTGATTCTTTTAAATTAGGTACTCAAGAGTTTTCACGTGCCCCTTGTCATCGGCAAATTTGATTTTTTTTTTTTTGCCGAACTTAATCCTACTCAGATTAATCGTCATACATTTCCACGAAAGGCACGTAATCTGTAGAGTCTTCATGTGGTCCTCTATCTCTATCCTTAAGTAATTGCTCATAGACACTCTCATTGCCAATTGGAATAAATCTGCCAAATTTACACCTTCGAATTTTTCTCTAAAAATTAATTTTAATCCACCGAAAGCCAAATTTGCAAATTCTTTCTCTAGGAGTGAAGTAAGACATCTATTTCTAGCCCTCTTGAATATGGAAATGAACTACTTCACCAATTCATAGTTATGTTGCTTAATATCAGCGAAATCAGCAATAGACACATTGGGAACTAACATGTAGAACTGACTATGGAATTGTGTCTCCATTTGCTCTCGGGAATGTATAGAATTAGCCGGTAAAAATGTATATCACGTGAAGGCTGTCTTAGATAATGACAAGGGAAACAGCCTTAACTTCCAACAATCTACATGAAATGCATCACCACATTGTGCACCAAACCGACTAACATGCTCCATCGTCGATTGATCATCTCCACTAGAAAAAAGGTCGAAATAAAAAATTTCGAAACCTCTTGGATATGGTATTGCATCCATCCACTCCGAATATGGTTTTCTGCATATGGCTCTAGTATTTACTGGATCATATTTCACGAGTTGCATCTCTTGGCCTAGTATTACCTGGACCTATTGGGGATCTTGACTAGGGATCATTTGAGTAGGATTATCAAAACTCGCCTGCACTTGAATTGAATGACTTGATGTTCGAGGCTCGTGCATGACCTCATGGAAGGTGTTGACAATCATGGGCTTGATCATGTCGATGACGCATTTTATCGTGCAGTTAGTCCTTTCCTTCTAGTGTTCATCGAGAATCCTCTTCATAGTAGCCAACATTACAGGACTTGCTCTAATTGCATTCTCTGCTCATCGGTGAGTTATCTCGGGATGTCGACATCTCCACCTTGCTCTTGTTCCGCCACCGGTTGTGTAGTCGATGACTCAGAACATCCCACTTTGTCATTCCACGTTGTGGTGACGAGTTGTTACCACCAACATAATCAAGATCAAGTTGTCTCCTTGTTCTCACCATCGTATCTCCTCAAATCAACCACAATGCTCCCACCAGGAGTGCCAAAGTTATGTTTCGCTAGAATTCTTCCCGCGATGAAATATAATTCACCAAACATGGTTCTTCGGCTTTTAATGAAAGGAGGCCGGGTTCGGTGGCGATTCCAGACACGAAATCACAGCAAACTTTTACTTCAAACTTTGAACCAAACTGTATGTACAAACCGTGTCAAAATTGAATCGATGACAAAGCTTGAAAACACAGCCACACACGTACACAAAGAAGTAACGTCGGAATTCAATCAACGACGCAACACCCGGGATAGAGACACACGCCGAAATTTAATCGACGATGCGAATCGGAAGGAAAGCTACAACTAAGTATAAATAAAGTGCGATACAGGAAAGTAAAGATAACTGAAAGATAACATGTTGATTAATTTATCAAGGGGGCCTTCCGAAGAGTACGATGTGGCTATTTAAAGCCTACAATCGACGGTTATCAATGGAGGTTACAAACGGTTATTAATAGAGGTTACGGACGATTATTAACAGAGGTTACAAACGGTTACTAACAGAGGTTGCGGACGGTTACTAACAGAGGTTACAAATGGTTATTAATATAAGTTACAAACGGGTATTAACATAAGTTACAAACGGTTATCAATGGTTATGTTGAATCTAATATCTTGACAGTTTCTTCGACTCCACTACGTTAGCAGTTGCTTTTTTTATGGTTGCATCCTGACTAGTCACGACCGCCCACTGCCTTCCAAAATCGACAACTTTAAAGTACTTTATGAGAAAACTCAAAACATAAAAGCTCTAGATCCAGGAGTCTTCGTTATTTTAGCTTTGTAATCAGGTCAATTCAATTTGTATCAATAAAGTTATGACCATTTTCTCAAACTAGCACAAAACTGAAATTTCCGCCTCCTGACCAGTCACGACGGTCCACTTCCTTCCCAAATCGACAACTCTACAGTGATTTTCTGAGAAAACTCAAAACATAAAGGTTGTAGATCCAGGAGTCTTCGTTCTTTTGACTTTGGAATCAGGTCAATCCGATCCGTATCGACAAAGTTATGGCCATTTTCTCGAACTAGCACAGAACTGAAATTTCTGACATCCTGACCAGTCCCGACCGTCTGCTTCCTTCCCAAATCGACAAATCTACAGTGCTTTTCTGAGAAAAGTCAAAACATAAAAGTTGTAGATCCAGGAGTCTTTATTCTTTTGGCTTTGGAATCCGATCAACCCAATATGTATCGACTAAGTTATGACCATTTTCCCGAACTGATGCAGAATCAAAATTTCTATTTGTTTTCCCGATCTTAACGGTAATAACTAAAAATTGGTCATTTTTGGGTGTAAACAATGGCCAATCAAATAATTAACAGCCACTATACAATTACATTAATTTTTTTCATCAGGTCGCTAATACTATTCCAAACTTCCACCCGTTGAAATCTTCTCAAACTCAAGATGGCATCACTAGACCGAGAAGTGTAAGGCATCGAATTATATATATTGGCTCACGTAGCGTAATTCCCATAAAGCCGTACACTAGAGAACTATTTTATCTCCACCAAATGGTGTTATATATTACATCACATCGCTCGACCATTAATTTCGGCTCGTCTTTTTATATGAGGTCTTTCTCCATCTAATAATCAGGATGTGTCTGAATTTACATTTACCTTTTGTTCTTTTGCTTAGTATAAGTTCTTTTGCGGTGCACGCACACTTTGACTTCTTCTTTTATAACTCGAAGCACCTCAAATTTTGATAACATACAAATATGATACGAGGTAGATTCGCATATGATTTTTTATATTTAAATGAAATTATAATTTTCGCCGGAAAGTAAAACGTTGCCTTTTGGTTTCAACTTTTAGGTTGATCTTTTTTAATGAGCTTTTTCTTTAATTTTTTTAAGAGAAAACATGGAAAATTACAATAAGAAGTGAAAATGCAAAATAGAGAGAGCATAGCGAAACGTTTCGTGGCTGCTTAGCTGTGGCCAGATGAATATTGTGGGCTAAAACTCAAATTCTCCTGCACAATTATTTTGAGAAAAAAAAAAGAAATTGGGTGTTACCTTTGTTAGAATATGTCTCGAGAGGAATCCCATGTAAAATATGAAGTTCCTAGAAAATAGGAGGAATAAAAGTTATTAGAACACGTCCCCTCTTACTTGTCCTATTGCCAAAACTTTGAGAGGGCAAAACTTCAGGAGAACCTATCTCATTTTAGGGCAACTTTTTAGGCATTCTTTATTTTTAATTAGGGATATGCTTACTAGAAGTCCTAGAACTTAT